AGTTTCTCATCTTGGATTTGTGTTATACTTGAAGAATTGTCAATTTTTTATTCAAAAAGGAATAATTTTTATTCTTATCTAGAAGACTGAATTAAAAAGCGAAATAAGCTGTTTTCTAGTTTAAACTAGCTGTTTAGTTATAAAGTATATCTATAAAAAGAAAACTAATCCGGTAGAAAGTTGAATTTTATTTTAAATTAACAGACTAATTAAACACGCACCAAAGAAATTTTTCCTTGTATTAATTAGCTTGTCATTAAGTATGATTTTTTTTCTATTTGTAATAATTTCCAATAAAAATCTATCAAAAACCAATAAACATGAAAAATGGACAAAAATGAGAAAAATTGACTTTCTTTACTTGAACTTGTATGAAACGAATAATTTCTATTATGTTGTTAAATTTTCATGTTAAACATGTCACGTTTCACTCGAGTTTTCTTAATTAATGTGTCAAATGTTGTTGGTTCATTGATTTAAGTGATCGAATCCTTTCGTGATTTGAAACTGAATAGAAAAATACAAATCACTTCACCCAGGTAAAACTAAGGAGGAAAATCGTAAAAGAGAAAGGAATTCCAGTAAAAAAAAGAAAATTTGTTCCCATTCAGAAATTAATAAAAGTATCATACAAGATCTGAAATCTCCTTGATGTATCTAAGAGTAACTTTGAAAGAAAATTCATTTGATTAGAAATAACCCCTCATAACCTCTTGTCATTCAACTATATCACTTCATTAGTGATGTTTGCCATAGTAGTTGTTGCTCCTTGATAGCGCCGTGTAATGGGGATTAAGATAGGTTTTCATTTAAAGTTTATGGGCTTAAAGTTTCATTTAAATCTCTTTTGACCGACATATTTTGTAAACAAACATATCAAGTATAGAATTCATCTCTGATAAAAATACTGCCAGCTCATTCCAACGGCTGTTCGAACTAATCATATTGTCACATTTCATTCTCGTTTATGAAATCAGCGTGATAGAGGCTATGGATTATCGCTGTTTTCACTCCGGAACAAGCTAGTTATTATAAGAGTGATGGCAGCGTGACGCCCATGTTATATAGAGTTTTCATAAATAAATAAGAAGAATGTAGTCGGTTTTGTATTGGTTTTGTAGATACGTTAAATAGATTTATATTTACAATATAGTTCAAAATTCTTATTATACCCTCTAGTACAAGGGGCTTTCATTAATTATTCTTTGTCCATCTCTAGAGCACGCCCACCAGATAAGGCTATAAACAAAAAATGACTTTCCTCTCGGTTTTCCATTTTATTTCCATAATTGGACATTTCCGATTGCTTGTCTGACCTTTATAGCAAATTCTCAAATACGTTCGATACCTCTATTTTTCTAGAGTTTCTCTTTCTACTCTCAAGATGTTTTCAGTAGCTCTTAAGAGTTCTAAATCTGCTTCCTTTCTATAATTTCAACTACTTGATCAAATGATTACATTAATAGACTTCTTATTTGACCTACAAATATTTAGAAATATGGAATAAATTTATATAAATCAAAAGCTTATTTATTCTATTAAATACAACTTAGAAAGAACTTAGTGTTTTCAATTACATTAATTTATTTAATATCAATATAAACGCATAGTTCTATTAGATTGAATCTTTTCTTAAGATTCATTGTAAAGTATTGAATAAAAGTAATGTGTCTTTATCGCATAATAGCATTAGGACACTCCATCTAATTAGAAAACTCTTTTAAGAATATTCGCATCTTTTTTAATAGAATTAAATATTCAGTTAGAATATTAGCAATCTGTTGTTGTTTAGAAAAGGGAAACTTTCTGTTTTCTTTTTGTAATGTTTCTGCTAAAGGGAACTTACTTCTTTTAAGTCGAAATATTTTGAATAAGTAGGAAATCCGACTCATTTGTGAAAATTTGACTGGTGTCCTAGTCTTACCTAGTTTGTTTTTCAATCAGTAAAAAACATTTAATTTATTAAACAATTGAAACTATCCAAAGGGAGTTTTTTAGTATAGTTTTCTTTTTTTGGTAAATTGACAATGTTGTTTCTATTCGTTTGAAGATAGTTTGCAAACAGGCACAAAAATGAATAACTGACTTTGTCAACGAGCCAATTGCTGCTCCCTTTGATCTTACCGTCTATGGCTCTTTGCTCTAATCAATGCTCGAGTCGCTTTTAAGTTAGAGATTAGGCCAGCTTCTTATCCGCGATGTACAAAATAAAAAAAGGAACTTGCAACAAAATTTTATACTAACTTCAGCTTAGTGAAATCTTATTAATTATTCTTTTTATGAAAAATGACGTGAATAGCCAAAACACCCTTGGGCAGGTATCAACAGAGTAGTGTCAGTATTGTGAAATCAATGGCAAAAATTAGATATAGGAAGCCGAGCTTTTCTTTTATCTAACCCTAAGCCGACTTCTTTCCACTTACAATCACGGTATTTGCCATTTGCAATTTGACGCCATTTTTCTCTATAGATTTTTTTTTATTATAAGATGACATATATAGTGTCCTAACTTCAAAAGGGCAAATTGAATTTAAGGAATAAAGCATCAACGAAAAAGAAGCAAATTAAATACCTATAAAAGTAAATTAGGTACTGATAATATGCTAATTAAGAGCAGATAACTATTACTATTTAACCCAAGTAAGTGCTAAATTTAGAGTAATAGTGTTTTTATCTATAAAGTAATTGATAATTACCAAATTATTTTTTGTTTTCTATTTGTAAATATCTTTATTTTTCTTTTCTTTTCTTTTGTACTTTTTAAAATCCATCGGAATTAATTTTTTTTTCTTTTCCTCTTCTTTTTTCCTTCTTTCTTTTTCCTTTCCTTTTTTCTCTTTCATTCTATTTTTTTAGCCAATGTAACTTTATAGTAGCAAAATGATTAATGTATTCTTAGATAAGGAAAAATTAGGCCTATTTGCCAATAAGTGCACTGCAAAACGCGTGATACGCTTACGAAATTGTATAGGTAGAGTTAATTATTCTTAATTTCATAGATTAGTGCATTTTTGGATGTTATATCTAACTGAAAATAAACCATTGTAGCGTGATACTTTTCCCAAGAGGGATCTTTTGTACAAATTCTGTAGATATGTCAGTGTTTCGCTTCCGTCAGACTCTTTTTATTATTATATGTATTGGAATATTATATTTAGTTTTATTCGTAAGGAAAGAAAGCTAAATTTCATTTATAATGTCCTGAGAATTTTGTATATGAAAATTGATAAGAAAAACATTCAAATAACATAATTAGTAGACAAGAGGATACAATATATGGTACTGTATGCACACCGTTCTCTGACAATATATCCCTTTTAGGCTAGATACTAATAATCGCAAAGAGATTATCGTTTTAAAAAATAATAACCTTTTAAATTCAAATAAAAGAGATAAGAAATCTATCCCTTTTACTTTTCTAAAAGAGTTTTTTCACACTTTTATTCTAATAATCTGTCAGACCAAAAGACTTTGGAATAATTAAATCGGATCTAAATTTATTCAAGCCTGAAGAGGAAGATAAGCAAAAATGGCGTCAAACAAGCTCATCAAAAAATTCTCCCTTTATCTCTCTGCGTTTGTTTGGCATCGCACTCTCGTATTCTAAAGTGCATTAAAACCATATCTCCATATTCGCTTGATATTTTGCAAAATGTCATGCCGGATTTTCTAGTGTCTTATTCTAATTCCACCTAGGATTTTCGGCCTAATCAAATCTACGTCTTTTTTAATGAATAATTAATCGAATTCCCGGTTTAAAGGTTGACGTACGAACGGAAATTGCAAACAGGTTTTTGTCGGTGGGAATTATCGGATTAGCAAGGCTCTGTGTGGGAATGGCTTTAATAATATACATAATGAATAAATGTAGGCCTACTTGATCAGCATTTAGCCATTAAGAAAACAAAACTTTGCCGGATTGGCGAGTCGAACTTATTCGACGGCGTGATGAGAAGCAGGCACGCACGTTTTTCGCATTTGCTTTTCGATTTTACGTAGACCAATGAACTGGAAGAGAGTAGAAGAGTGAAAAATGGCGTTGAAATCTTTATCATTACCAGTTTTTAATGAAAGACTTGTTAAAAACCTTTCTAACTTTGGATCATCTAATGGTCTATTCATTCAATGATGAATAGGTATATGGTCTTGAAATATTTAAAAAAAAAAAAAAAGAAGAAAATCCAGGGCATTGCAACACACACTTGTCAGACTTTTTTTCCTGAGGAATAGAAAGCAGAATACAAACGGATTTTTTTTCATAGGAATTTTCATTTCAAAAACAGTCTTTTTTTATTTTTTTTATTCTTGCTAGTTAGTTTTTTGTATACATCTTAACTTGACATGAATGAAAAAGAATAGAGAAAACATTTGATTGAAGACAACAGCAAATTACTCAAACGCCCAATTGGGTAAAAATGGCTGGCACTGACGTTTGATTTAAGTAATAGAATAGACTACGAGTGGGCTGCCTCTTTGTTTCTATTTTTAGCCAACATTATACAGCAGGGAAATTCTTGATTCATTTCAGACTCTGTCTTCTTCTAATTTCTCTTCGATAAATGATGACAAAAAGGATGGGTTTTTTATGTAGAAAAAAAGAATATAAAACTGTATTGATTTTTAGAGTAGAAACGTTTAATTTCCACACATATTATATTCCCCCTCTTCTTTTCATTCATATTGAATCGTATTTAGAATTGTTTATTATTCATACATAAGATTATCGATGAACAAAAGGTCCGGAAAACTACTTTTGTTCGTTTTTGTTTCAGCTTTTGTTTAATATTGAAGGAAATAGCTGTATACAAATAAGGCTTTCTAGCTAAATTATTTCGGATTTTATGAGAGATCATTCAGATATTGTAGAAAAGATTAATAATCACGAAAGACTTTAATAAATTAAAGCGTATTTGAAAGTAATTTATCCTAATTAATATAAATATTAAAGTTAACCACAAGAAAAAATAATTAAAATACTACTCATTTAATTTGTAATACTAATTTCATGCTGCTCTGAGCTTTGGTCCTTTAATCATGTACTTGTAGGACGGAAAGAAATCATGAATATTCATCAGGAAAGACCTACAGGCCCGTAAATAGCCGGTCAATTGACTAAGTCACTAGCTAAAGTGACATTGAGTGAAAATGTTCCAGACAGGACGCCGCTCGTTAATGGCGTTTCTGCAACTATGCTAATTAGCACTAATTAAATACGAAACATCTTGCGTGTATATGCAGTGATCGCCCTTATCTCTTAATTAACGTATTTCGTCTTTCAACAGGTGGCGCAAGAGATAATGAAGAGACGACGGTGAAAGAAAATAAAGATGCTCGTCGTAAACGATTCGTTCTGGAATTATACTTATCCGAACGTTACGCAATGGCCTATAAATGACACAGACTCGAATAACGTCACTCAAATCATTAATGTAACGGCTGCTTACGACAGGCAAAACCCGTACTCGATCTGGCAGATAATCCTACTAGGCCTACTAGCCGGTGGAACTAGTCTTGTAACGATTTTCGGCAATCTAATTGTAGTACTGTCGTTCATTATCGAGCGAAGTATAAGGCAGCCGACGAATTACTTTATCTTCAGTTTATCGATTAGTGACCTACTGATTGGTACTTTTTCCATGCCCATGTACACGATCTACCTTCTAATGGGGAAAAATTGGCGGCTAGGAGTCGTTATGTGCGATCTATGGCTGAGTGTAGATTATTCCGTCTGTTTAGCGTCCATCTATACTGTCTTCTTTATCACAATCGATAGATTCTGTTCTGTAAGGATACCAGCTAAATATCGAAGCTGGAGAACAGAGAGAAAAGTTACAGCTATGATCGCTATCACTTGGATAATACCTGTAACTGTTTTCTTTACTTCAATAATAGGATGGCAATATTTTGTTGGCAAAAGAACTGTTCCCGAAAGAGAGTGTTATGTTCAATTTTTGAATGAAGGCTATTTTAATGTTATTCTCACAATTGGTTATTTTTGGGTTACTCTCATCGTTATGTGCGCACTTTATACAGGAATCTACAAAGTAGCTTTGGACCTGCAGCGAAAAAGCGAAGCTAAACATAAAAAAATGACGTCACTTGTTTCAATGGCTGGTCAAACTATGACAAAGATAGGTATTGGTATGTCAAAAAATACTGATATAACAACTTTGGTACCAAACGCATCGGCATCTTCCAAAGTTCGACAAACATCATTTTCCAAGGGTAAATCAGAGGAGGATGAAAAATCCAGTTCTTTGGGTTTGCCATCAGATACAGATAATGACCCAAGCTCATCAGATCGTCGAAGTCCGAAAGAGAAGAAGAAGAAAAAGAAGGAAGGTGATGCCCTGAAAAAGAAAAAATCGGCTAAGAAGCATTCTAAAACAAATAGCATTAATCATCTCCCTCCACCACCTAAAGGCAGTGTTGTGCCTGTGTCACCTCCGGTTCTACCCCCAACTGTTAACATAACCGATGAAAATCATGAATCACAATTGCTACTTTCATCCAATGCCGAACGCCCCAATTCTTTTAAAGACGATGTAAGACTGCTGAAAGATTGCCCTGCAGAAGAAGATGAATCACCCGTGTGGAAACCCAGGTCCACAAAAAAGGAGTTTAATAATGCTTCTACAATGACTTCGCCTACTGTCAAGATAAGCGAGCCACCAAAACTGTTGCACGTTGAAAAAGAATCAACACAACGTCCTAGTACAATTAGTAGTTTTTCTATGTCCAGTGCACAGAGTTGTAGTTCAGCTGGTTTGAGAGAGGATAGGCCGAGGAGGAAATTTGGCTCAAAATTACCATTGAGAAAAGCGATGAAGTCTCTTTCTACACGCCAGCGACGGTCTTCCAGACGCCAGAATAAGTCGAAGAGCGAGAATAGAGCACGAAAGGCTCTGAGAACGATAACGTTTATCCTAGGGGCGTTCGTCGTTTGTTGGACGCCTTGGCATGTGCTGTCGATGATAATGAGTTTTGGTGGACCAGTTAATGATACTTTGTATGATATTTCTTACTGGTTATGCTATTTGAATTCGCCAATTAACCCATTCTGTTATGCGCTAGCTAATCAACAGTTTAAACGCACGTTTGCTAGGATTTTGAAATTCGATTGGCACAGATCGTAAGCGTTAATTATATTGTATGCATTTCTAGGTTTGTTGGTTTCAATTTCTATATTTATGGGGCAGAAAAGGTGCATATAAAGTCGTAAGTATCTGTAAATATAAGGAAAATATACCTGTGTATATTTATATATACATGCATTTATATATATATATATATTTATATATATACGCATAAATACATACATACATACATTTATATACATTTATTTGGTTGTTTAGCATAAATATAACAAACAACCAAGTGAATAAAGGATAAATAGAATAAATACTATTTAAATAGATTAATGAATAAAGTAAACGAACAAATAAAAAGCTATATATATATATGTTTATATATATATATATATATATATATAAATATATATAAATTTATAAATGAACATAGATAATTCGAATTCAGGGGTATAAATATGTATACATATACTGTATATCCAATATATGAATATATAGGTATACCTGTATGCTCACTTATATATATATATATATATATTTAAAATCATAAGATGTATATATGTGTATATATAAATTATCCATTGTAAATATAATTATATAGAAAATACGTGATTTTTCATGTATATTCGGTACGTACCTTGAGAATACTCTGAACGGAAAGCAAACTTTCTTTTAATTTTTTTGTGCACATTGTTTCCACGCAAATAAATTGTATATTAAAGTCTACTTTATATATGCATGTATTGTATAAATTTTTATTTATATTAATATGTGCAAGTGCAAAGGAGATTTTAATTCAGAATGTGTAAAAGCATATTGAGAGTAAAGATAAAATATAGATCGGCATACAGCATATATATTATATATATCATTTACTATATACTGATATATATATAGCAAAAAAATGATATTAGTATATATGTAAAAAAAGAAATAGAAAAAAATATGCTTTGCGCTATTTATGCAGTCAATGGGAAAAGTAATGCAATACTACTACTAAAAATGCATTTCTAACACATTTTTTCCAATAAGTTGCAGTCCATATTACTTATATGGATTATAATAAAATAAATTGAAGATACTCAAAGTAAAAATTTATACCAGGAAAATTCACTTTTTTAGTATGCTCTTTATAAAAGAAAATTATAAATGTATATATATATACAGTATATATATGTATATATAAATCTTTACAGTAGTCTTACATTATTTTTCTATAATTAGTATGGTATTTTAGAAGAACAACTATTATCGTTTTGAAAAGAAGACATCGTATATTTATATATACATAAGAAATATTAGATTTGTATATACTTTATATATTTACAGTATATAGTATATAAGGCAAATGAAAATTATAATATTTTTAAGTAAACAACACCTTATACTTTATGCATGCAGTATGAATTATATGTTCTTTAAGTTTTTTGTTATGTTTTTACTTATATAAATTTACTATATATGCATAATCAGCATATATATATATATACATTATATAAAAATGATAGGAATCCTAGTTGCATTGTATATATTACGTATGTTTTGTACAATTCTTTGCTATAAAAGTCATCGAATTAAAAGGAGATGGAGCTGAAATGTTCACAGATTTTATTACTGATAGGAATAGGAGAGTTTCAACTGAAAAAAGATAGAAAATGATTTAAGCCTGATGCATCTGCTATCAAAATAGCAATTTAAAACAGCATAGATGTACCAGTAACAGTATGTCCTTAACAAATAAACTTGTCTTTAGTATACGATTTCAGGTATACTCCTAAATTAGTACTTTTCTAATATACTTGAAATATGCATATGCAACAAATACCGCATACTAGCGTATATTTTTAAATACTATTTATAGTATACACATGAACCTAGCATTATATTTATTATATATATCTACCATATATATTATATATATATATCTCGAGATGTAGACTTTTTATATTCTTCCTTAAAAGATAGATATCCAATGACCTTTTTTATTGGAATAATGTCCACACGCCCACCGAGTAGCGAACAGATGCTTTTTAGTTTCACATCCTATCGCCTTCCTATTACCGTTGCCCTTTGAAAGGGCATCAGAAAGGCTTTAATGGTATTTTAGGAAATAGGAAAACCTTTGAGCATCAGAGTGTCTGCTCGTGACATTTTGCCAAAAATATAAGTTTCGGAATGTTGAAAAAAGTGTTTCTCTTTTTTCCTTCCAAGTGATTTACTTGTTTCGTTACCCATTACTTGATTAACCTTTCTTCTTTATATATCGGAATGTCTTAGTGTCAACAAGAGAATGAAGAAATTGGTGAAAGAAAGCTGTGCTGCCATCTTTCGATAAATATATTTATCTCTCACTATTGTCTAAATTTATCATTTTCCCTCTCTTATATCCTTGATCAATCAAAAGAACAAGAGAATAAAAAATAATCTTAGCGCAGTACACTTTAATATATTGCCACGAGTTGTTTGTCGAATAGCGCTTTTCGAATATTTCACTTGAATAAATTTATATATATATACAGAAGAAAAGGATAGTATGGTGTATGATACATTAGACGTCTTTTCCATAGAGACTAAATGAACACCTCTAATATATTTATTTGCATAAGAAATAATAAAAGAAATGTTTTATATTAATAATAAATATCTTGAAGATGTATGGTCTGCCTTGCGTTTTGATATCAAATGTTATCTATGTGTCACAGACAACAGAAAAAATTTACAAAGACAATGAAATATTAAGAAGTTTCCCGTGATCGAGTGCTCACTTTTCGTTGTTCATTTAGCGTTACAGCAAACGGCAGAACAGCTGTGTTTTGTTGCTTATTACTTTTCGAAATTAGATATATTTTTGGTCCGAAAACAAGAAACATTGTGCTTATTGTAGAAATCAATATACAAAATGATAGAACGGCATAAGTGGCTGATACACTACGTTCATCCATTAGATTCACAAAAACAGATGATATAACGGACATAATCATCACATTATAAACACAAAGGCCGATTTGTTTTGAATCGTTTAGAGCTTCGATTCGAACATTTCGAGTTTCCCAAGCGAAGAATATTCCAAAAATAATCGATAATCCTGGATAATTTTAGTTATATTTAGAAGATTTAATTTTTTTTCTCACAAGCTTTGCTTATTTTAAGGTAATTGTTTTGTATAAAAATAAACATATAAATAAATACCCTTGAAGGCATAAAGACTTCCAGTCCAATAAGTTGAATATTCACACACACAAATGTTTAAGTAAGGCTGATATGCTTGTGCATTATCGGTGTTTTGGTACTTTAGATAGAATATATATAGAAATTTTATTAATATATATATACAAATATTATTGTTTTTGTTGATGTTAACAAAAATATGACTAAATTACCTCTAACTCGTAATAGATTGTTTTTCTTGCCAAAGGATCGACTACTTGCCAACAAATCATTAATAGGGAGTCTAAGATCATAACTCCAAATACGACAGCAAAGAGGTGTCTATCCTTAACGTTCTTTATTGTAATAATAAAATAGAAATAATCTTCTATAAATTCATTTAGATGAAAAAGAGAGATAACTTGCTTTTTTAGTCATCTTCTTATTAGAGAAGATTTTATAAACACGCCATGTTTTTGAAAACATACTACCAAAAGCAATCGTGAATCCCCAAACCAAACACCATACCCTCATCTGTAAAAATAATTGGGAATGACGCAAATTTAACTGAAACAGTTAGAATTACTAATATGAAATTACAGAGCATATCCAATTTCTATTATTACTATTAACTTGAATTCCAACTATCATAACATAGATACAACCAAATATACAACCAAACGCCAAAAAGTTATTAATATTTGGGGAGGACATTTTAATTATCCTATTCTTGCTATATCTAATATTAAATATAATACAGCATATTGCAAAAAATATCCCCAAACAGCTCATTGAGTAAGAAAAAGTTAACAAATAGATATTAATTGTAATTTCCAAATGTTCAATAGTTGTTGAGTCTGGTGGTGGTGATCCACCTGTATATTATTAAAATATTTTTTAATACATCCTTAGTAGCTTGTGAATATATTTTCTTTGTTTGATAGAATCAATTGTATAAATATGATTTATTTTGTAAGATAACGAATTATGAGTGTCTTCACCTAAAAATATAGGAGACTTGAACCATTCCAATTCATTGTCAAATGAATTATAAACTCCAACCTCTACATCTTCTATACCTAATTTAATTAATGGTTTATTGTGTGTTTGATAAAGGTTTGATTGACAATAATATACCTTGTCTTTGGAAAATAGCTATTTCAGACAATCGATTACCAGACTTCTGGAAGGAAACTCTTCCCTTTTAAAGAAAAAAAAACATAAAAATGACGGCCTTAACTTACACAGATCAAAGAAGAATAATTTTTTTTTTACTTACAGACATTCCATAAAAGTCTAAACTCCTTAAACTATCTTGCAAAACCTGCGTTATCTTGGAATTCTTATAATCAAAGTCTGTTAGTTCAACACCAGGTGGCAATAATTTTTTAGTGTTCTCTAAGGCCATTAAACTCGCCCACACGGCATCAAACGTTCTTGAGATAATTTCTGTCTTTGTAGTAATATTACGTTTTTTAAGGTAAACTGTATACAACTCGGTAATTTGATTGGCAGTCTGAAAATAATCTAAGATAAGAATTTGCATGAGGAACGTAGCAGAGAAAAGTACCCTAAAAATTATATTTTGTATGCAAATTATAAGCTTTTCTTAAGAGAATTGATTATATAAATAGATCTAGCACTTACATAACCAGAGATGCCTATGGCATCGTTGTCAATTCTATGTTTTGCTGCCGTGGAACCGTAAGGGTTAAAAGTGAAAACATATTTCTGTGTATCATTGACATTTGCTTCAGAGCAGTCATCATAGGAAGACGGTTGCATTCTCCAACCAAAAGAAAATGCCCAGTGTAGCCATTGTGAATGGGAGTCAGGTGGAAAATGCTCTTTCATCTGTATATTTTGTTTATTTCCTTTAAGTTATACCATTTTCTCTTTAGTTTTTATATTAAATGATTCTTTATCAAATATAAAAATAGTACAAAAAAACGTACATAGCAATAAATCGATTTTTTTTCGATGAAATGTGTAAATGATATAAATATCCTGAAATCACTTTTTCGTAACTGTACCAATTGATTTATGGGATTGTCTGAGAATGTTTTAGACAAAATTGTGAAATTATTAAGAAGTAATTCACTTCTCATAGCATAAGCGGTCTAGAAAATGAAATAAAAAAAACAGGAAATAAGTTTTATGTAAAAATAGCATAGGCCTATTTTTCCCACTGGTAAAATGTAACTTTCGTCCTGAATAAGCAATCCAACACGATTCCAGTTGAAATGTTTTAAAACTGCTATTATAGCTGGTATATGGAGATCTGTTGATTCCATTGTTCTTGAAAATAATGGATATAATTTCTTATTTGAGAGTTCAGGAGAAGTTACAGTGTAAGCAATCTGTAATAGTTAGTAAGTATTTATATTGTATTAATATTAACAATGCAATTATTTTTATTTTGTCTTTAGTTTATATATGGAAAGTTTGTATATAAGATTTTTTTATCCTTTGCACATATAAGGAAGAGATCCCTTATTTTTGCTCCATGCCTAATATTTCCTAAAAAAAAGTATAGGTTCGAATTTTCAGAGCGCCATCTACATTGTATAACTGTGATGTCCATACGGTTGGAGGGCTTTTTTTTATTTATGTTTTAGTAAGTTGAGATTTTATTTCAGAAATGAGCCTTGCAAGCGGTTTATAGGGGACATTTGAATATATTAAATTCGGCTACTGGCTAATAAAACTAACGTAACGAGTAATAAACAAATTAACTGATAGCAATTTACCTGGACTAAGTTGTAAAAATTAGCTGTTTCCGATACAACTTTAGCTTGTTGTGAAAATGTTGGACCAATCAGCATTATTTTTTTTGGCTCTTTTGATACTTGATCAATAAATGCTTTCATCCCTGTACCAAGATCCTTGAAGGTGAAAACAAAAAAATAAAAACAATGCCTCTTGCTACTGGTTACATAAATGCTGCAGCCTCTCCCTCTCCTGCCCTTCCCCTCCTCTTTCAATTCTCTCACTATCTCTTTCCCTTTGTCTGTCTCTCTATCATTTCATTCCCTTTCTTTCAGCAGCTTTCAATGATAATAAAAAAAAATAAATTAATTATGCCTTACGCTTCTTGTAATTGAATGATGAATTTTTATTGGTTGAGTCAAGTTTCGAGTAGCAAGCTCTAGTGCAAAATCCACAATATGCTATAAAAACAGAACAAAACTAACGAAATAAATTAGAAATCATTTTTTAATCAGCTAAATTTTTAACTTCTTGTTATTGTTGTCAATAAAGAAATATATATATTTATTACTAATCAAAGGAATGATTCTTGTCTTTCCGTTACATTTACAGGCAACATAAAGTAACAGAACAGTATCAAATTTTAACAAAACTGTATAATGCTACAGCTAGAAAGATTGCTTCCCTGTCTGTTACAAATAACTTCTGATGAAATCTAAAATTAGAAAGGAGTCTACAGATTACCTTTAACAGCTACTGAAAATGTTAAACAACGGTAATTTATACGCGAATTATCTTTATTATTATACAATATTAATATTTAATGTTTATAATAATATATAGAAAACTAAATTCTATAATTATTACAAGAAAACTAAGAATTATAATTAAAGATAATTTATATCCTCTAGAATGAGAGAAATTACCCTTAGGGCACAAGTATACTTGCATTTTCCAGCAAGCATGCTTTATAGAATGAAAATGCCAAAGTGATAAGACTTATAGATTTAAATACTACTGATAGCTATGAATGTTTGTCACGTTTATGAATTAAATATATGGTATATTTAATTATACTCAAGGGGAATTAATACTAAAGGATAAGTAAATATAACTGACAAAAGTATATTTTGTTTTTTTTTATGTTATACCTGTAATCTATTGTTTCCAAAAATTTCAAATGCTATATGCATTATATGAAGTTCCTTTTGTTTATTGCAGTTGTGCTTTTGAACTTGTATTACAATTATAATAATGAAAAAAAACAATAATTCATTCTTCATTATTGACTCGTTTCTTGAAATTTCTGAAGTTTAAAAAGATTCATTTTAAAACATAAAAATACTGCAAATCTGCTTTTACCATCAAAATGGCTAAAAACTATATATATATATAAAATAAGAAAGAATAATACATTGTAAAAATCACAAAATAAAAACTCAGCAAAGCAAAAATACAGGGGCAAGTTTTTTCAAGCAGAAGGTTTGCTGGAAGTACAAATAAAGATACTATTTTTAGAAAATAGTTTAACTAATTCGATATTTTTTATAACAAAACTAATTTTATATGTGTGTATTTATAAAACGAATAACTCGTCCAATTAATACCTTATTAGTAAAAAGAGAGTACTTAGAATTTCACAGGTTTATTCTTCTCTTAAAAGCTATCACCTCTACCAAAAGACCTTGCGACCACTAATTTGAGATTCTTTACGGAAATAGAATATTTGAAAGACAGCTATTATTACAATGTATTATTTTAAACTTTGTGCAAGTTTTTAAGTAAATGTCTCTATTTGTCGTTCTAACCGAGACAGATAGAGATACAGATGTCTCTTTTAAAAGACTAAGAAGATTCTTTTTTATTCTTACGATTTAATTATGCTTTTCTTTTTCAGTTTTACAACATTTTTTATCAAACACAAAATTAATAAAGATCTGCAAAATTGGTAAAACAAGACGAAAAATTAAATTATCTCTCTATTTTTACAACATTTTCTCATTCCCTTTACAAACGTAAATATAGGGTATTAAGGCAAAGAATTGAAAAACATTTGTTTATATTAAGATATGAGATTATAACATTGTTTATACTTTAAAAGAAATGCAATGAAAATAAAACAAAACTAACAAATCACGCCAAGCCATAAAAGTAACGTAGTATGCTCACCTTCAAGTTATGAAGTGCATAAATTGAAGGGATACACGATTGCATGGAAGCGCCATCAATTTTGCTCTTTTTATATACTGACTAAGCAGAAAGAATTGATATTTCATTTATATTCTTATGATATATTTAAAAATATGTTTCATTATGATTGTATTAATATTGGTTTTGAAGGATAGACACGATGTATATCACATATAATGTATATATATATACTGTATGTTCATTATATACACAGTATATATATGTATATTTATATCTGGTAAGTATTACAAAATAAACTGATAAATTCAACTTTAGCCTAACTTATTAGTTTTAACTTTATTGAAAGTTTCATATCTAAAAATATAATACTATCTTCTTTTTGATCATGTTTAACAAATGTATTTTGGGCAAATTATTATAATAAATTGAATGTTACTGACATGATATTGATTTTTTTTTAGGTTAGGGAAGTTAAAGGTACTATTCGTTAGCTATGTTATTTATATATAGCAGATAAATAATCTAAATATACTTTTGTCAAGCTGTAATTAATAAAGACAGAAATATTTCTCTTATAAATTTTCCAAAAAATCATCAGAAGCATCAGCAAAATGTAACGTTGGCCTATTTTATATCTTCTTTTTCAATTCTTTCTTTTTCTTTCTTTTCCTTCTGTCTCTCTTTATTTCTTTGTCTTCAATTTTAAGGAAATTAAAGTTTCATGCCTTATCATTACAATCATAAAAAGAAAATTTCCGTCTTTTTCTAAGTAAGAAAAATGATAGATAAAAAGAAAACAATAAGTAAGTCTAACTTAAATGAGTCTTTCTTTATAGAATTTCTTCAATATTAAAAATGAAGAGAAGGTACAGAATAAAAAAAGACAAGAGTGTCGTCTGTTTTTACATTTTTTTTTATTAAAAAGTTGTTTTTTTTTATGTCTATTGCATTTTGCTTAATTAAAATTATGTTTAATCAAAACTTAATGATACACAGAAAAGATATGAAGAAATATTTTAAAAGAGCTTACTTATATATATACTTATATTAATAATTAAGTGTAATTATTATTTTACAAAATGCTTTTTCGCCCTTCTCTTGATAGAATACAGTTTCATGCAAATTTTCAAGGTTAAAAATGTTACGTTCAGTATAATTTACTTTTCACCTTTAAGAAAAATCTTGTATGTTTATTTAAAATGTTTGTGTTTGAAGCATAAAATAATTCTTTTAATGAGGTGTTAGACTAACACTGAAATGTTTACATTTCATATTGGAAGCATAGGATAGAACAAATGACAGAGTCTTTTAGAAATAAATAAAACTTTAACAATATATTTTAGAAACTTCCCCTTTTCATAATAAAATAGAATAAAGTTGATTTCAAAGTCTAATAGAAAGTTAATAAACTGAGTAAAGACAAACACACAAAGCTACATTTTACTTTGCTAACAGATAGAGTAACAACAGGTGATGAAATAGAGAAAAATCAGAGCTGAATTCTAGATTCTTTTAACATTATTAACCTTCTATTCTCTATACATTTATATACATATAAATATACAGTATAAACGTTTAAAAGGTATATTTGCTGTCTTCCTACTAACTCATCTACCTCTTTTCTTCATCCTTTGCAGGTTCTATTTCCGAAGCTATATTTTTTGTATAATTACAATGCTTTTAAAATCGTTAAAAGTTAAAAGAAAATATAAAAAGACTGTAAGAAATTACTATTCAGATGGCTTCTGCAAATAATACATACAAAGAACAAGTATGATAAAATATCTATTAGTTTAAAGACTAGAAAGATTATTTAAGTTATTTACGCAAAAATAACCATCCATTGAAACTAATTACACTTAGAGTTTGTCTGATGACAAAACGTGTCTAATATTTAAGTAAATAGAAGAAAAAGAAAAATCAGTTATACTAATCCCGTATCAGAAATACGTCGATAATCCCCTGTCAAAGCAAATGTTTAGTATAAATATTTGACTAGGTCAGTAATAAATCTCTCCTTCTACTATGAAAAATTTTCACCTTAATTGATACATATTGGCTACAAATTATCAACGAATGCCGAGTAATTAATTGCACTGAAAAAAATGGAGAAGAGTTGAAAGACACCAGATGGCGTTTTATCGGTGAAAAATTCCTCATTAACACTAGAGTTATCTCAAGTGCTAGATGTTCGGTAAATTTTTGGATGACGTTTGATTTATAAGTATATACAGGTATTTATTTTTTCATTTACGCTCTAAATCTAACTGTTATTGTGCTGACTTCATAACTATTTCGTAGAATTTATTAATAATATCCTTATTAGACATTGTGAACAATTGTTTTTTTGTATATTTTATATTTAAGCAGAACAAAATATGAATCCCGACGATATAACAAAATGGTTGGATGTAAATGAAGCCTTTGTAGAGAATTATTTCCTGAAAAAGGCAAAATTAACCTTAGTTAATAAATGGCTGTTAAAAAATAGTTATAAACCTGTTACTGATCTTCAAAAATCTAGACAACAAATTCTACAAACAAAATTTAAAACTTTACAAACAATAAACGAATGCTCGGAGGATTCTCAAAAATTTCAAAAAAGACGAGGAAGTAGAAGAGAGTTAAGGCATTGCTTTAGTTTACCGTCGTCTGCTAATTTTTTGCTGTCCGATTATATTCAATCCAAAGTGAAAATTCCCACAGGATTTTCATCTCAAAATGAATTTATGAAAAGAAAATTAAAAGATTCTAATGAAACAGATTTTTTTCTTGAGATAGTCAAAGATATTGCATATGATTTACAATTATCAAGTATTTTAAAGAAAATATCAGTTAACGCTGAAATATTACTATCTGCAACAAAAGTAGAATTATTGAAGGTTAAGAAAGGAAGATTGATATTGGATGATAAGGCAAGTGATGTTGGTGGATATTTAGCGAAATGTGTGGCTTCGGAAAAATGTCTAAGATTTCGTCCCATAGAGATGGTAAGTGACTAGATTATTTTGCAATTGAAACTTATTTAGCATATTTTATATACAGTATTTATATATATATTTAGACGCCAGTTATAATTTTATGCATGATTAAAAAGTGTATAGAATGTATAGTACATATAAGAACTATTCTCTTGATAAAATATGATATATAAAAGTCTACGATTACGCCAGAACAAGAATATTTATTACGTACAGTTTATGCTTTTTATGTTGCATTTTATATTTACATATCTATTTATAGTTTTTCTTTTTCCTGTAAACACTAGGTAAAAATTTTACTTATTGTATATTGTAACGTGGCTAATTAGGTATAAGGATTCCAAATAAGCCTATAACAACTTGGTCTCAATCATTTTCTTTAAAACTATTTCCAGAAGATTTCATGTTTCATAAAAAATATCCATACTGTACTTTTATACTATATTGATTTGTATTATACAGCATATATACAGCATATATATATATATATATATATATATTATTATATAATTGATTTTTAAACTTTTACCTTTTAATCTTAATAAATTTGTACAATTAACCTAAACTATTACTTTGTACAAAAAAATGTCCATTCAAAGGATTTAGAACAATAAAACTTGAAATTTTTTCTTTCTTCTGTCACTCCTACAGTCTTCTTTTCTGTTTGCCCCTTCTCCTTCTCCTCCTTTTCTTCTTCTTTGCAGTCGACTCTTCTATTATTGATATTTGTTTTCTCCATGAAATACAACTATAGGCCTTGGTGGCAAACTAAATAGTGGAGAATAAGAGGATCTTACATTAGATTACAAAGCTGTATCATAACTTATATATGTATACATATAAGTATATTAATAATAATAATAATAATAATAATTCAATGATAACTTAACGCTATTCCTATAAATTATTTGTTATGATGAGAGGATTTAGCTTATCATAAAAATGCATTTAAATATCGTTTATATAGTATTCTTACAATCTCATTGACTTTTTATTTATTGATTGGAAAATATTTAATAAAGATAGTTTGTCTACATCTTTTTAATACATTTTTTAGTTGTATGACTAGATAGGTTGTAAATAATCAAAATATTCGATTTCAATAAAGAAAAAAAATCTTCTCATCTTCCAGCTGCAATTAAGCCGCGTTGACGCATCGATTGCTGAAGAAATTCGGGAAAACATAGAAAACATGCTTTGTATGCCAATAAAAGGACGAGACGGGGAAGTTATAGCCGTGTTACAAGCTGTTAACAAAATGAAATTGGAGAGAAGTAATGATGTTTTAAACGAAGGATTTACTCAAAGGGATGAAAAGGTAAAGTTTTACTCTTATTTTTTTATTCACTTTCAATGTATAAGTTGACATATTCTATTCACGAATAGAGTAAGTAACTTGTACAATATCGAAGACCTTTCAGACAATGATTCTATTAACGGCACGTCACTTTCAGACATAATACAAAATACCTATATCAAATTACATGATTGTCTAAAGGTGTAATTAAAAATTCTCTTAGCTTTTACAAATATAAGATTTGTATGAAAAATAACATATACATTATATGTATACTATATAAATGACAAATACTACATTTATACAAATAATATTCTAAGATGTTCCGTTACCCTGTACTGTAGGTCTGCTAGGTATACGCTTTCAGGTGAGGAGTTAATGTGAAGGTTAACTTGGTACAATTCTACAATTCTACAATAATACATTAATTATTTATTCTAGTAGAGAAAAAGGAAATGATTTGTTTACAGTAACGGATATTTATACAATTTTTCATATAACTACATCAAAAGCGTCTAGTTTACCCTTACCAATAGAGATAAATGATTAGATGCTTAGTATGGAAAAACTCGTTAAAAATGCCTAATAATTTCTTGAAGTATTTTTTATAATTATCCTAACGTATTTAATAAGGTAGATAATAAACAGTAATCAACAACAATTAATGGACTATAATCATTTGTTATTTTTGTGTATATATCATTTTGTCCATCTATTTCTCTTCTTAGTTTTATATTTTTAATATTACTAGATTTTTTCTTACCTTTATTAGGTTAATATTCTAAATTAAAAACAAAGAATATTAAACCAAATGAGCTCTTATTTTTTAATTTATTTCTCTCATAAATCCAATTATATTGAAGTGTATTCAATAAATTACTATTTAAATATACTATATTAGCTAATATAGTAATATATATATATATCTACTAATATATACTAATACATTTATTTCCCCATATTTTCTTAGCTAGTTTTGAGAAAACTTAGTTGTAGACACAGAACAAAAATAATACAGTTTACTTTCTCTCATTAGCTGAATATAAAGAATGAAATAAAAAAAAACCATAATATAATCGATATTTGATCTCTCTTTTCTTTATTTTTTCACAGCTTTTGGAAACCTATGCTGCATTTTGTTCTATGGCGATATGCAACGCCGAAAGTGTTGGAAACTATGAGAAAGACTACGAACGAAACAAGGTTGGTGTTTTTTTCTTGAACTCTTAAATTGAAGACGATTTCTGCCAGAGAATTAAACACATTATATGTATATTCCTAAAAATAAATATTACTTGCACGTATATGACTGCTCGAAATTTAATAAGCACTTGATCCTCTGTTACCTAGGTAACCGTATATTTTTTTTCAGATTCTCTTAGAAGTAGTTCATGAACTATTTGAGGAAGAGCGAATCCTGGGAAATTTGCTGTTTAAAATAACTATTAAGGCGAGGAGTTTATTTGATTGCCAAGATTGCTGCGTTTTTCTCCTGGACGATGAACAAAGTCAAGTAAAATCAGGCCAAAAGCATGTGGTATTTAAATAATGGAAGTCTTTTTTATGTTAGAATGTACAGGAAATAAAATTTTCGAAAATATTCACCGTTAATGGTCCAAATGATGGAGAAAAATTCAGGTAAAATTACATAAGAAACTGAAAGAAAGCAACTAAAAAGCTATATTAATTACTTAATATACTATCTTAATATCAATTTTCTTTATTATTAAACTTATACAAAAGTTATTCTTTCAAATTCATTTAAATCCAAGAAAAAAGTATATTTTTATGTTTTTCTTTCTAATTAGTTCCGCTTCGCAATCTCTCCCTCTCTGTTTTTTTTCTGTATATTTATTCCATGACAACACTCTTTAGCATTTTTAGATTGTAATATAACCCTTTTTTATTTTTTTTGTGTTGCTTTTTGTATAATTCCATATATACTGTATGTAAACTGAATTAGAGTACTAACATATTAATGTGTTTACTACTACTACTACCATTACTACATTTATTATTTACAAATAATTAAAATGTTAAAATCGTCTTCCTAGCAAAGTAATTTTAATAATTGACTAAAGCTTTGAATTTATATTCTGTATAGAAGGAAATGAAAACATAGAGTAACCTATTTTTTACTGTTAAGAGAAAATTTATCTTTTAGACAAATAGGAAAGAATTGTCCATATTTTTTTTCTTTATATTATTTCTGACATGTAAGAAAAAGAAGGTTTCTTCAATTAGACTTATGTTTGTTATAGAAGCTATACATTACATATTCAAGAAAGTAAAATATATGGAACTTGCCTAAATAGATTTGTTTTAAACACATTTATGTATCAAGTGAATGGAATAGAATATATGTGTTTTATATTAATCTACATTTACTATGTATGTTATACAGTATACACAGTATATATACAGTATACATATATATATATATATATATATATATACAGTATTTACAGTATATATTTCATATTCTATATATATATATATATATATATATATATATATATGATTTATATATACAGTATATGAATTTCTGCATAATCCACCATCTTTAATGTACTTATTTAGAAGAAAGATTTATGAATAGAATACTTTTATATTCTTAAACGGAATATATTAAATATGAATGTAGATTCATAAATACTGTATATATGTCTACTTTCTTATACAGTATATTATAATTTCTGATTACCGTTTATAAAGTATAACTTTTTCTTTTGTAGTCACAAGCATCCCTTTTACGAGCTGGGAGCTATTGCTAAGCGTTCTCTATTCATAGAAGAGGATATTAAAATCGTCACAGAGGATGTGAATGATGTACTTGTAACAGTTTTTTCATTTTACTAATATTTAATATATTATTGAGATACGCATTAATGAAGTCTGATTATTTTGCATTTTATTTCTATAGGAACTGTTGAGGAATATTAAAACGCCAGTAAATAGTTTATTTTGCAAGCCAATTTTAAATTCAGAATCAAGAAAACTTGGTGCGATAATGTTATTAAATAAACATTTTGGAACGTTCCAGGAATACGATGAAATGCTCTTTGGCGTAAGATAATTAATCTTTTTCTTTTACTATTCCATTCTTATTGTTTTCTTTATATAAATCTTATCTATTCTATTTTTTTATTTCAACAGGCTTACAGTATTTTTTGTGGTTTAGCAATTAACAATTGTATTTTATACGATGAAATTTCTAAAGCGTCAGCTCAACGGACTGTTGCTCTAGAGGTAAACCAATATACGAGTCTAAATGTTACTCTTCCTCAATAAGATCATTAATTTACATGCAGTTAAAGGCGATATTAGTAATTGCGGTAGAAATTCGAATTCAGGTCACTTACTGCATTTCCTTCTAAATAAGCTATTACTCTTCTTTTATAAGTCTTTTACGAAAAGAAAACAAATGTAAAATTTTAATTCATGCAAAAATTTCAGCATGAAATTTCAATTTCCATAGTCTATAAGGAAAATAACGATCCTTATTAATGAAATCAGTAGCTCTATATTTAATCTTCTATCCACGAAGCTTAAGAATAGTAACAAACTGTACTTAAAATAAACCTAAAGAACGTCATCGTGATCAGACAATACTCTTATTTGAATGTAAACTATTTTTTCTCGTTTGTCTTTCTTTTTCCTTTCAATAGATGGCGTCAGTTAATGTTGTTTCTTTTCTTATCCAACAGGTTTTATCTTATCATACAACAGTTCCAGTTGAAGAAATGAAAGAATTTCAGGTTTCATAAATAAAACGATTATCATTTAAAATAAGTAGCTTTAAATGAATGCGATAAATAGAAAAAAAAGAGATATTTATAGAAAAACTTTAACAGATTAGCAAACTTTATTACATTAATAAGTTTAACGCATTTTTTTAACTGATTTCCCTTCTTTAATAAAAGCTATAAATAAATTAATTTATCTTTACAGGCCAAACAAATTGAATACGACAGGGATGAGATACATAGGTTAACATTTGATGATTTCAGTTTATCTTCTGACCAGATGCTAAAAGCAACTATTGATTTATTTCATAAAATGGAATTTATATCACATTTTTCTATGAATGAAGAGGTAATAAATATATCAGATGTTACAAATTAAATTAAATTAAATAAAGAGAGTAAAAATGTTCTTTTCCCTTTTTATATACTCTAAACAGTTCTATTTCCCTTTTTTTTTAGACTGTCTGCAGGTTCTTTTTGGCTGTTCGAAAAAATTATAGATCAATTGCATATCACAATTGGAGGCACGCTTTTAATGTTTGTCAGTTAATGTTTGCTATATTTAACGTGTGTACATTTATATTCTAAGCTATCAGAAAATAGGATGTATTTTCTAATATACTCTTTTTTTTTCACCATTAGAATACAAGGTTAGGAGGTAATTTAACTATGTTAGAAAAATTAGGTCTTGCTGTTGCGTGCATATGTCATGATGTTGACCATCGGGGTACTAATAATGCATTCTTATCAAAGTAAGAAAAATGCATATTCCCTATTTATTAAGCTAAAATATTTTATCTTTGTAGAAGTGACTCAGCCCTAGCTCAATTATATGGCACAAGTGCTACACTTGAACATCATCACTTCAACCAAGCAATTACCATTTTGAATAGTAAAGGCCATAATATATTTTCCCAAATGTCTTCCAGTGATTATCAAACAGTTATTAGTATGATGAAAGACGCTATTTTGGCCACAGATTTAGGACGACATATGAGGTTAACCAAATTCAATTTTTTTTTATCTAACATATGTTTCTTATGAATAAGTTTATTGCAGTCAAAGAAAACTGTGGATAAAAGATAATCACATTACAAAACCTGATAATAACACTATTAGATCTATTCTTATGACGGCATGTGATATAGGAGCCATAACAAAAAACTGGAATGTTCAATATCAAGTAAGTGAATCTTCTTCTTTTGGAAAGTTTTTCTTCGAATTTTAGAGAAAAAATAAAGATAGTTTGTCAAAAAAAAATACTTTACTATGTACGCCATCTACAGGCTGCTAACCTAGTAATGGAAGAATTTTACGAACAAAGCAAAAAAGAAAAGGCTTTACAAATACAATCGATGCATTCTATTAATATGAAAAAAAGAGATGAGCTTCCTAATTTGCAAATCGGATGGATTGATCAGATTTGCCTCCCTCTATATCAGGTAACAACACAATATTACTGTTTTTGCTAGATATTCTGTTAAATTCTTTATTTTTCTACCGTACAGGCTCTTTCTACTTTAGATACCAATTTTCAGAATCTTGTTGAACGCGTTTTGGCAAATAGAGATAAATGGAAATCTCTGATAGATTGATGCCTGTTGTACGTGTTTCTGTGTCAATTTTCATGTTTTTATTCTGTATTTCTTTTATTGTCCTCGTTAAAAGAAATCATTTATTTTCCATTACACTTGCACATAAACCAGAATTTAAGTCATTAAGTGATTTTTATTAAATTTATCATAAATAAATAAATATAGTTTTTATTTAAAATATTCTATAAATAAATATTAGGCTAATTGTTAAAAGATAAAGGAAAGAAACTATTATAATGTTATTTAATAGTCAAGTAATTTTGTAATAACTTTTGTAGGTTCAGCAATAATAAAAACCTCTTTTAAATTCTCTAATGTATACAGCTATACTATTATCTCTTTTCATTTTATATAGAACTCTATATGGAATTGTTACATATTGAAAATGATGCCATCTATATTTTACGAATTCTAAAATAGTTAAAATACAATAATAATTCGTTTTGTTTGAAGAGTTGAACATTTACATAATTAATTAATTAGTTAGATTAATTACTTAATAAGTTAACTTATTTATAGGTATAAAATTTATATAAACAAAACAATACATTTAAATCTAGTTGCTTATTCAATAAGTATAAAATATTATACAATATCTATTTCCCATTCTCTTTGACTTTTCAGCGTTGCGAATTATTCGATTAATTAGATAAACTTGGTAGAGCGTGACTATGTATTTTTAATTAGAATGGAAAAAAAATTAATAAGAAAGTCAGTTTATTAAATTCATGTTGGTTGGATTTATCTAAAATAATTATATTTAGATTATTAATAAATTGATTGAGTTCTATTCTTACTAAATTTCTGATTTAAATAGTTTGTATTTCAGCATTTATATCAGTTTTTGTTGGAGAGATAAATAAAATAATGACGAAATACACTTTGTAAAGAAAGGGAACTGTCAATAACTTGTTCAATTAACCTTGAAAAGTAGGTGCCTATTTGAGGGTATCAAACAGATAATGATAACTAATCGCAGTCAGAGATTTCATCCAGTCATAATGAGATAGTTGATTTCCAGCTCGACTCAATGCCTTCTCTCAAGGATAGCGTTTCAAATTTTCTATAATTTTGATGTTTTTGTCTCGGAAACAAAAATATGTCCAGAAAAGGATTTTAATTAGTTTTACGGATCACTAAATTGATAGAAAGAGATTAATGGATATCAAATAGTTACGCACAACTTGGGCTTACCATTTTATGTTTAGGGTGCAAATAGTTTTACCCTTAACGCTTTGTTGAATTAGTTTAGGAATATAATCATTAATAAGCTAGCAGTACCACCGAGGTTACATTTTTCTATTTTCATAAAAATTGAGCTAATCAAATCATGAAAAAAAATATCATGGTATCGAATAAAAGACGTTCGTCTAAAAGTGAAAAACACATTGGAAGCTAATAGTAGTTGAAATATACTAAACCTTATCATCTATGTATTTTTCCCCTCCGCTTTCCAGTGTTTGTACATATTTTTAGGGGAAAAAACAAAAAAAAATCATTTTACTACTTTTAAGACAGCATTTAGAAGAAGAAAGTGAAATAAATGACCTTTGATACACAACCAAAGGCCATCCTAGAGTCTCTTATATTTCGTTTAATATAATATAAAATACAATTCTGTCGGGTAAAAGGGTAAAAAAGTCGTTTCCATTTCGTTAAAATATATTCTTAAGGACCTAGTCCCTTGAAAATTAGTGTCAAAATCTGTTAAACACCAGGTCTTTAGGAGGATGAAACCATAAATTCAATATTGAAAATACTCTCTAAAAGATATTTTATGCTTAAACTCAGCTATTAAGATAGATTAAGTTTTCCTCTGTGTAGTAACTCGAGAAAATATTGAGGGAAATGATTAATCGAGTAGATTAAATATTAGTAAACAAGATAAGATGAGTAAGAATTTAAAACTAAAAGTAAATAACCTATAGGGAGATTGTTTCTCTGTGAAAAATCTCACAGGTAAAAGATAAAAACTTTTTTATTTTACGTTGTAGAATACCAGTTTTTACTTGTATAATTTTAATAATGTTTCATTAGAGAAGAAACAATTACGTTAAAAGTAATTTGTGTTAAGAGTATTAGCAGTCTTCGAACAGAGGACAGGAGAATAAATTACTTTCAATGACATAAGCCAGAAAAAGAGAGTACTTAAAATAGCGCTATTGTTTATTCTTTTGTTGCTAACTGTAGCTATGATTATCAATTCTTTTAAAGAGATCCATTTTTTGGATATTCCTGTTAACTAGCTTCGCACTCTAAGAAATATTATATGCATTAGGATATTCTTTTGACAGGTGTTTTTGACAATCATATTACTAATAAAACGTATAGTTTAAGACGTTTAGAAATAGAATGGATCATCTAGAAAATTACCTACAATATGAAAAAACCATACAAATAAGAAATACTTATATTGTTAATACGTGTTTTAAACTTTCAGGGAAATTCATTTGTTTACATACTTAGAATTCTGTGTTTAATAGCATAATCAATATTAAGTTATATTTAAATAATAACCAGCAAATTAATAGTAAAATGTACACTACCGGAGAATGGTGAGTTGAATAAAAAGGTTAATGTTTACTTCTTTTTGTTATCTAATGTATTAATGTACTTGTTTTCATTTGGATTAATTATTATATATACTATTATGTATATACTGTAGGTAAGTAGAGTTAAAATCCAAACCGATAAGTTTCCTTAACGAAATATTTGTGTTGCTTTAAACATGCTATAATATTCAATTTTTTGTCTAATAATAAAAATATAGATATTGAAAATCGAAATATGCTGACTTGAGCTGTCTGCCTTCGATTATAAATTTCCTTCAATTTATCTCTGAAAGCATGAACATTAACATTATTTAAAACTAAATTAAAAATACTTGATAACAAATTTTTTATATTGTTTTTGTTGTTAATTTTTTCATAAATGTCGTCAAAATTGCGAAAATTCAATTTGTATTTCTGATTAAAGTAAGGTTAAGATCTTAATTACTTAATTAAAGCTTTAAGGATGTAAGAACAAAATAAAACACACACACGTGTCTTTTATTAGTATTTTCTACGAAAAATAGTATTTTTGATTCCTTAAGCGGAGAAAAAAATACTCTTTTAACAGATGCAATCATTTCGACAGGAACTTCTTTAACACCTTTATTACAATCGGATTTTTACTGGAATTTCACCGTCTCTTATAGCTTAGAAGGCTTTTAATGTTATTCTAGATGCTTTACGTCCACCAAGCAGACTTTTTGCTGACCAGACTTACTTGAAACCTTTTGATGGTTTGAATTTGTATATAATATATTTTTTCGAGTGAAACATTAATTCTAATTTGTTATGTATTCCAGATACTGAACTCTATCACGGACTATTTCGGGTGGTTTACTCTCTTTGGAGTCGTAGACTCTTTGGACTTGTAACATATGAAAATAAATTTATAAATAACTAATACTTCCAAATAACGAATTACTTAAACCAAGTAATTAAATATTTTGTAATAATTAATCACTAATAAATATTTTCTCTTTGTCTCAAATAATAGGTTAGTAATATAAAATATTAACTTATAACTGATTTAAAAGGTTCTTCTACAAAAAACTATCCCCTATTATTGCTCATTGCTCTCTTATTAAAACATATTGCAAATATACGCTACATAATTAATAGTATTAAATTAACTAACAATTGAAAATCTCTAGATATCAGTAATCTAAGTTAACTTGATGATATTCTGAAATTCAAAATAACAGTTACTTTATTCCAAAGAAAATAAACATTGTTATTTACATTCAAAGTGATTGTACACCTTTCTCTTCTAAATACTTAAAAATAACATTTTTTAGCATAATTTCAAAGACAAATTATATTAAAGCCTCAGGCTAATTGTCTCTTATAAATAAGAATATATTTGCTTTGCGTAATGATCTCTCGTAACCATCGCGATGAGCATTTTCAATTTTGCTTTACCAGTATTATTCTCTTTATACTTAAGAAAAAAGCAAGAAAAACTTACATTTAGTAAAAAAGAGAAAGAAGTAAACGCTTAAAACGCCTGAATTATTGGCAAAAAATATATTTAAATAATAATGATAAACATATTTTAATAAAGTTCAATAACATTGCGTCCCTAGCCAATATATCAGATTACATGGAAGTCTGAAAGACATATAAATACATTTATAACTAGTCACCTATTTACAATATTCTTTCTAGACAATAAACAGTCCTTATATCCCAAAAGCATAGCAGGCATGTTTTTAATTTTACCAAAAACAGCACTGTTATTCCTGATCTTAGTTAATATGTTATCTTGTTATTTATAAATCAACCAATATACATGTTATTACATTTGTTCTCAATAAATAAACAAAACGAAAAGCAGCAAAATATTCACTTGTTCTCTTATTCAGTATTAATATACACAATGTATGAGAAAGAGTTTAATTTTACAATGAGAAAGAGATAAATATAGAGTAGTATGTGTGTGCATTCATATTTATATATATATGTATATATATATATATATGTAGAAAGAGACAGAGAGAGAGACAGACAGACAGACAGACAGAGAGATAGTACTTAAAATATATCTGTATATATACTTTTCAAATATATATATATATATATATATATATATATAAATCAGTAATACACATGTTGTTTCTACTGTGATAAATGTGAAAGCAATATCAAATTATTGATGGGACATGGACATGAAAGTGTAATTGATAATAAAAAGATCACATTTTCATTTATTTCTAATAAGAAATATAATCAATTTTGTTAGATAATTGGAAACATGTATTTCTTAAAAACCTTAACATACTCACACGTGAAAAAGAATAAAATTAACAACAGGGGGCGCTTTTCCAACTGGACTGCATTTGGTTGTCAATCAAGTACGAAAAAGTATGAAATTCTTCATTTTAGCCATAGTACTTTACATTTTTGTAACGGAAAGTAAACCTATTGATAAAAGTGATGACCAATTGGATAATCTATCAGAGTTTATCCGCAAATTTCAAATAAAAAAAAGGTTACCTCCTTTGGAATCGGGATTTGTTAAAAGATTACCGCCACTGGAATCTGGATTTGTCAAGCGTCTCCCTCCCCTTGAGTATGGGTTTGTCAAGAGATTACCTCCAATGGAGTCAGGTTTCGCTAAAAGATATCCACCAATAGAGTCAGGATTTGCTAAGAGATTACCGCCAATTGAATCTGGATTCTTCAAAAAGTGAGATTACTGACAAAACAGAGGGGATCTTTATGTATAGTTGTTTGTCAAATCTTATGCAATGTCTGTATAAATAAACAACGTATGGCAATGTGAAATTTGGAGCTCTTTTTGTCATCAAAGAAGAATAAGATAAAAGAGTTAATTATAATTTATAATTCCATTTTTCTTAAATCATATTTGCTTCTTGCTAGATACGCTGGTATAATAAATCCTGTAGGATTGGTTTCATAGTAAGGCACTACAGTGTATACTGGGAAATAATCACAGTAAACATAATAAACGAGCCGTGAAATATATACTCAGTTAGACGGATTTTTCGTATACTTAAAACAGATATGTTAATTCTTTTTATCATAGAAAATGAGAGGAATGTAATATTTAGATGTAATGATGATTTCTATATTAAGTTCAATTAGAGGAAGATTTGCAAAACTTATTCTTTTAAATAAAGCTGAAAAAGTAATTAGTCATCAGAATGAATGTAAAAACATAACATTAGAGGTTTTACATTATATAGTCTTTGTATGATTATATTTTCAGTTTTTAGTATATTTCTTTTCCTTTCTGCTAATAGAATATTCCATCTCTGATTTGTTTCACTAACTAAAATTACGTATATATTTACGTAATACCCCCTAAAGAAACTTTTTCATCATCAAAGAGACTTCTTTTTATTATTAGCAATCATTTTAATTAGATTGTAATCAGTTTCAAAAATATATTCTTCAATAGCAGACTATATCTGTTTCTCGAAGATCAGCAATGCAAACTGGTTATAGAATGTTCTTTATACTATATGCATATTTTTCGGATTTCTTTTACCATGAACTGGTTGAATATATACCAATTAAGCGTATTATTATGTAAATATTAGAATTATAATAGATCACATTTGTCTATTGTTAAGACAATTGGAACTCTTCCAAGCTGGGCGATTTTATCATTTCCGTAGGAATTTTATTAAGAAAAAATTCATTTTTAAGATATATTACCTTATTGTTTAATTAGTTACTAAGGATGACTTCCGGTTTCTTTTATCTCTATTGATAAAATTATCTACTTAAAAAAGATTAAGTTTTGTCTTAGTTGGAAATCGAGTACATTAGCAAGTCAAACATAAAAAGTGTCAGATTATGAAGCGTGCTTAATCAGTATATCAAACATCCTCTTTTAGAAACAACGACAATATTTTAGTTTCTTGCTTAAAAGCCTTACGCTATCTCATATCATTTTGATCAAACAAGTCAAGGATCCCACACCAACAATTATTTACTCATAAGAACTTTAAAACGATAATATGGTAAACAAGAAAAATATGACGATAAAAATAACTGCCGTCAACTTATTGTTATAAATATATAAAGAGGCTTAAAGAAGTATTACATAAATATTCTACATGCGAATATGACAAAATAATTAATATTGAAAATGTAAAACTATCAGTATATCTATATGTCATTGGCGATAAAGCTCTACATTTTTAACATAAGATTATTTTCAAAATAATTAACATTATAAATTTTTATGATAGCCAGCAACATTTATTATTTACATTCTTACTGTAATTTATACATTGAATACTCAGTTTGTTAGTGAAAATAATACATTGGAAAAATTATATAAACTTTCTTTATAATTAATTACTAAAGATACTGTTGGTTTTTATTGGAATCTTATTTCTTATATCCTATAAGGGGTTATGGTTAATACGTTTACAGAGTATATATGATTAAAATATTCTCAATTAACACATACAGTATATATAACATCAATTTAACATTTCGTTTTGTTTTCACTATCAATTATTAAGGAACAATTTGTAAATAATCGTGAAACGGTAAAAAAGATGACCCAGCCATTTTTTTTCTGTTAGGAAACGAAAAGAAGACTCAGCGATTTTAAAGATTCTCTATTAGAAAGTAGTATTATCTCAATAATACATAGCTATATAAGTGTTTAGTCTTGGTAATTAACACATTTAATTTTCTTTTCCTTCTTTAAGAAAAGTTTATTAATATGTTTTTTAAATTCTTCATTTGTCTATTTTTTACAAATACCACCAACTCGCTGGCTCAATAATACAAAGTATTCATTTTTTTATGTACTAATATATATATATAGCGTTTGTAACATAGAACATCATTGTAAAATATAGTCAATTTGAGATATTTCAATAGAAATATAGTATTTTTAGTTTCAATCTTGTTTTTCTTTTTCTTTTAAATTCTAAGAAATTAAATGCTAAAATCGTGTATTACCGAAAGTTAGTTACCTTCCTAAGGCGATTCAGCATAAAAAAATTCAATAGTCATTATTTAAAGTTGAGAATGAACTGAAACGAAAAACGAATACAATGAATGTTTCATTTTATCATTAATTCTATTTTAATTTTCTCGACTGCTAAGGAGAAAAATTAACCTTAATGAAACTTTTGATATACACTTAACTATACTTTCATGTGTTTGTAGCTATTTATGTCTTTATATTCCACTTGCATATAGTATTTTTAAATATATCTATAGAAGGCATATGTTCCAGATATATTCTCTCTCTTTCCCTCTGTACATTATATGTTTTATGCGTACTTGTTTTCTAAGATTTGAGTAATTGAGATAATAGGACAAAGCTTCTACCTCTACTTCGTTTACTATTTCTGATACAAACACAAAGAAAAAAGAATATTCGACATGTCTACCTATAGGAGTGTTGGATTTATGGCATGACGCCATCTATAGCATAAACTAAAAGTTAATAAGAAAACTTTCATTCCTTTATTTTACTTTTACTAGCTAAAGACAATACTGCGAATATGTAAAATATTCTAATATTACTTATAAGATATCAATCTTATGCTTCTTACTCTAAATATCCATATTGTACATAATAGAGAAACATATAAATATCAATAGTATAAAATATTCTGATGTGTTTAATTCAAAACCCTATGCATAAACCAAAGCAAAGAATGTTTATTATTTAATTTTCAGCTGATAAAAATAACTTTCGAAGCAAACAAAACTAATTTATTTTAATGCAATGATATAAATATTTGTTGAAAAAAAACCTATATCGAAAATATTGTCCAATTATTCTGAACTTTTCTTCGTCTGACTTTCTTAATGATATTTTCCGAGTAAGAATAATAAACACAACTTTCTCTTAGAGTACGAATTTGTCACGAATACCTTAGAATTTTAGAATGTATACATTGTTGATATAAAATAGATGTATGCTGGGCAAAGGAAGAAGGAAGCGTTTCTTTGTTGCTAAATATAAATAATAAAAAAGAATATTGAAATGTTCCACCTACTCTTTTGCTGTTTGTATCATACAACTAGGCATAACAAATTTTTACCACAAGAAGTAATTTGATGGATCGACAAAGTTATACGTATTTTTAACCAGATTAGTTGTTTTATTGGGGGTATGCATAAGTATTTGTAAATATTTGTACATAAATTGTATAGCTTGAGGAGAGACATTGACATCGATATCAGAAGGAAATTGTTTCCTTTCTGGACAACACTTCCATGACTAATGGTACAGTTATTTCTCCGATGTATCACACAAACATATAAAATTATATGTATTTATATACATATATACTAATTTATAAATATTAGCAAATGGAATGTTTTCTATCTTAGCAATTATGTTTGTTGAATATAATTAAGAGTTTCGTTAAATTAAATCTTCTCCTAGTCTGGAACTTTTTGCTTTTTGACTAGAAACGAGATTCTAAAATATCTAAGATGTAGGATGGACTGTAAGGGATTCAGTCTCTTTATTTTTTGTTCATCATACTGCCGTAGCTCAATGTTTCATATAGGAAGCTTGGGGTGAGAAAATTCGAAATACAGATAGCAATGAGTGGAATGATAATAATTTTAGCTTTTTCATTGGTGGATATAGCGCCACCTTTGAGGAAAGTGGATGATGTTACTCTAAAAATCACCATAGGATGTCATAACACTGGATCGAATGTTTTCTCTACCGTGAGAAATGTCGACACATCTTGTTTACCTAACTAGTCTTTTTCAAATTAAGTTAGTAATGAAGTAAATAGCGGTATTTCGACAACTAAACCATAGTTTGTTGATGACACACTCTGAGCAGACAAAACTGTCTCTATTTGGTAGAATATTATATTTCATTTTTATTGCTGCTCTGTTTGTAAAGATTTATTAAAAATTATGCACTACAAGGAGAGTGAATAGAAGATGAAAGAAATATAATTCACAAGACTCTTATTACAATTCTTATTGATTACAATTAGATATGTACTACCTCTCAAATACTGATGTATCACGAACTTAAATAATAATTATATGTTTGATGTATATTAAGGGACACGTAGTATATATGACCACCCCCTACCTATTCCCTATAAGCAAAAAGCATGTACAGAAGATGTACAGTAAACTCTTATGTCAGGCTAGTATAGCACAAGATCTACAATTTGCTTTGTATACGATGTTTAAATAACAGAGGTTCTTTATTGTTACTATAACCTACAGACAACATAGAATTAAACTTTTCCAAGAACTTTTGAAAAAGGAAAAGAAAATATCTAAGAGTAACTATTTACTTAATTTAAGGAAAATTACTTTAATTTCTTGAATCTAATTCTTTAACAAATTTTAAAATTCTTCAATAGAAAAAAAGTTATTGTCTCTTTATGTTTCTTTTTAGTTTGCTTAGTTAAAATCATAATGAAAAACATAAGGATATATGTTTAAAGCATGGAAACAGAGCCATATTTTTATTAAGTTTAGTCAAAAAACTAGTCAAAGTTAATATATTTAATCATTTTGATACGATAAACATAAATCTGTAAATTTCTGGAGAGAAACAAACATAGCCTTCTGTATGTCTAGGCTAGGATATACAGTATAAATTATGGGTTCATTCAATTATAGTATGAATCCTGCATGCATATAATGTATGTATTACTATTGATATTATAAACAATAACATATGTTTTAGTTTATACTATTAAAAAGACATTATTCATTTTGTCTGTTTAAAGTCAAGAGTTAAACATTATCTCTGTATAGTTCACTGAAAAGGAGCATTTTAAATTGCAGCATAGATAACAAAAAAAATGAATGACTAATATTATAAAAATGATCTAATCAAATGGAATATTTCTAAGTAATAAATATGTATTTTTTATGTTCTCTAGAGAAATTACATTGAAAAAGTCTTTTATTTTTCAGTGTACTGTCAGGCAAGAAACGTTTCCAGTCCTTTTTATCATAGTAAAAGATGTGATATAATTTTTATATATATTACAAAATATGGTCTAATCAAAATTACTTTAAAATAGAATAAGGAAATAGCGATTTCTATAATTATAACTTACTAGTTCACTCTTAGTAAATCTATCAATTCTGAATAAGTAAATACAATATAAT